CAGCAGTTTTCTGGTTCCATTCGATATCGAACGAAAATGTCACACAGTTGTGACAACTGCACTTCTCGTTGACGTTATACCGTTGCCGTAATGCTGACGCGTAGATGGATTGTGCGATCAGAGCGGTGAATTGAACACTTCTGACCAAGCGTTTGAATCTGATCAAAGCGCATGTTCGGCCATATTATAACTGCTTTATATTATGAAGGTGTGATCTCATTGTCTCGATAATTCTATAGCTATACTGTATCGTATTACTGTTCAACATCATTCCTGATCAAGAGGCGGATTGCTCATTACAGAAGATATGAATGATTCAGTTGTTTGGGTCCCGAAGTAAGCATTTGAAACGCGATGTTAGAGTACGTTTCAATCAGCCAAAAAAGATTTGACAATATAATCCAGAGCATTCAAGAATTGAGCTTGAGATGATGAAAAATTGTTACACTTTGTTATCATGATAGAAACTCACTCGTGCTGAGTTGTCACATGGACTCGATCAGAAGGAACGGCCAACACCAAACGAATTCGAGGCGTCGATGAACGTTCCAACGGTCTGTAGATGTATTCCTTTTCCGCCAACACCAAACGACCACCGCTTCTTGAGAACAGTTTATAGAATGTACCAGTGTGCGCATCCTGGATAGTGCTCCCATGACAATGAATTACAAAACGCTATTATCATCCTTACCAACTATTATTCCAAATGTCACACATATCCTAAATGCTAAACTGACATCCCTAAAGATGCACCGCTAAATTATTTCAGCTCATAGCCACATTAAACAATTTCAAGAACATTCCGAAACGCTCGGAGAACTGATTTTCTTTCCCCTACAAACAACTAAAAACACTACAAAATATCCGAACCTCATGAGCCTCAGTTGAACAATCAAAACTCTATTGTTAAAATTCATAGATCTCAACGATTCCATCGCACTGCTGCAGTAATTTAAAATTGGCAAAGATGACATTTGTATACCTTTTTGTAATAGAAGGAAAACGATCCACTGTCTTTGGTTGAGATTGACTCCAATTGTCGTAGAGCATCTGCAACATTCTGCACTTCGAAATCAGCGACCGCAAGCTGCGGAACAAATATTTTATGCATACCACTTCACGATATCGGCACACATAAAGTTTTGCAGCGTGTGAGATTGAATTCCGGGTAATGCTGCAGAATAGGTCAAGTAAAAACGGGGTGTGGTCTAACACACACACAACACGTCTCAGCGGTGCGTACGCACTTCGCCATATGCGCGTGTCGGCGGAAGGAG